CTATGCAGCGTATGCATGATTGAAGACTTCCTTATGTGATTTGTTTTGCCTGTCAATAAATACCTGTTTCGTTCTCTACTTACCTAGAGTGTGCTATTCTCTCTGTTTCCCTCTTTCTTCTCTCTTTATGTCTGACCAGTAGTGGTTCTCTGAAATGTGTTACTTTTCTTCTTTTCCCTGCCTCTAGTGCTTTATTTCTCTTTTTATATCTATGTAAAATAAATTGCTTCACTATATGGAGTATACACTTTATTTTCCAATATATAAGAGAATAAAAATATAAGAAGGCACTAGAAAGAGAAGAAAAGGACAAAGTAGACAGATACGAAGAAATGAAAGAATATAACCCGAATAATGGTAGATTATAGTAAAGAAGACACTGTACTGCGTGAATAGCAACTAAATAAGAAAATATTCTTTATAGCAGAGAACGTTTATTGATGTCTTGAGAGTATCCCTAGCTGCTGCTCGTGCTGTGGGTTTATCTTGGCTAGTGTGTTTGCCCTTCGATAGAATATCTCTTTATCTGCACGCAAGCTGCACTATTGTCTTGTTTTAGATATAACCCGAAATTCAACTATTCTATTTGCATACTACTGGTTTGTCTTCCTTTAGGGCGTAAGGCCTTTTACCGGGCCAGCTGCGTTGATAGATATTTGTCTTTTCTTTCCAAGACTTCGCTGTAGACTAATAAACTATAAGATACTTTCCTTTGTTATGCTAAATTTAAATTAAAAATGTTTTATTCAATAATGCTTCATACAACATGCTATGTTTTTAGCTGAATTTTTCTTTTTAAAATATTAGACTTAGTCATACTAAACTTGGATATAATTTATTTCTCATCGTCTATATGGTTTGTAAAGTGGACACTTACTAAAGTTTGTTTACACAACAAAACAATACTATCACACAAGATTGTAATGTAAGACTTTGTGTTACACAAACATAGATCAATAGTATGTGTCGCGTAAGCAATTAGAGCTCCTTGTAGCGTGTTAGTCTACAGGAAAATCCCCAGAAGTCAATGGCCAAAATCAACTTATAGTGCAGCATGAGGATTTACGTTTCTTGTGCGACCAACGGGATCCCAAGTAGTATTCTAACACAGCATCGTACTTTTCCATACTTTTTCTGTCATCCTCCGAGCAGAAAAGTGCTTTATTTTCATCTAAAAGGATTACAGATTTTTTAAAGTATTCCGAGGGTCCTGACATTGCTTCTTTAAACTCAAGTGGGTTTGGATAATCATCAAAGACTATAAAGTCGTAAACTGTCTTAGCAGATTCTAATGAGAATTTATAATGACCTGAGCATACGTACATAAACCAGATAATATACACATAGTTTAAGTTGTGGTCTTTCATATATTCTTTGATATTGGATTGAATTTCCACCAAGTCCTCTATCCCCCCACTATACATAATACGATAAATTAGAGTCGCTCGGGTTATTAATTGTACACTTAAATCGATCATCCTTGGGTCATTCACAATTGCTCTAAGATAATTGCATATGGCTTTTAATGTAGCAGGCGCTGAAAGAGGCCTTAGTATAGTATTGCATACCCATTCTTTTCGTTCTGTTAGACAAGTCCAAATACGATCTTTTTTTGGAATAGGCTCTGATGGCTTAAATCCAAGCCTTGGATAAAATTTCTGCCAGCTTGCGTGAAATGGGAAGAACATCATCATTGGCTGTCTTGATGCATAATCATTGAGCGGAACACTTCCTAAAAGGTTTGCAGTAAACCGTGCTAGAGGGTTTGTTGGGCCCACTTCCTTATCTACGGTACAAAATATAAATCTCATTATAATAGTGCTTTTAACCTCTTCGCAAACAAGCCTTCCTAATAAGAATATTTTAGATATTCCTTCGGGTCCTTCATCCATAATTGGAGCTACTTTTTTCTTAAGTCTTTCACGGAGATTATAATCATTAAAACTTAAAGCATCTAACTCTGCACTAACGTACTGATCCGCAATGTATCCTATATAGCAGTTTATACCGCTGTAAATATTTTTTACTTCTTCATACCTTTCTTTAACATATGTAGAGCTAGTATTTGAAGATGGAAGAAGAGCAAGATTTGCATGTCCTTGTATTATATCCAAAGAAATTCCATTATATGCTTTACCAAAAGTATAAATAATGTTAATCTCAGCTAAAATATCTGCCTTATCATCTGACCTCATTTCAAGTCTCATTTTTTTGCACACTACTCTCACATTCTTATTCTTTGACAAAGCCTTAATAATCGATTCTATCTTATTTGATATGTATTCCTTTTGCTTATTATCTAATTTTCCTGTTCTGCATGCATTCTCTATACATTCAACTAGCTCTAATATATCTGCTTTCTGCCCTGTTATTTCTGCAATTACCAGAAATATATTTCCAACCCCAGGGAAAAGTTCATTTCTACTCTGCAAATATTTAATCTTTTCATCCTTTAAGCAAGCAACAACACTGCTCCATTTCTTGTGCATTTCAAAGTCAGTGGTTTCTGTTGGCTTAGGATAGTCTCCAAAGAAGTCTCTCAACTCATCGCTTACTCCCTCTCCCATATGGCTAGTTTCGTACTTTCCTGTCTTTTGGTTGTATGCCAGGCAGCAGAACAGTCCAAGCAGAGCTGTCTCTACACAGTTGCTATAGTATAAGGCTTGGTCCTTCTCAAAGCCAGACTTGTCTAGTTTACAACGCGGCACTCTAGTATACTTCGGCAGCTGACTGGAATCAAGAAAGGGAAAATTAGTACTTCCATTTTTAGCCTGTATAAGATCACAGAACGATTCAATATATTTTTTGTTTTCATCAAATGCATCTTTCGCTATGAAAAGCTCATCAAATATTCTGCCCTTTTTACCCTTCTTCTTAGTCTGCTCGGGGTTCTCCTTTTCAGTTACTTGGTCAACCAGTAGTTCATGCGCTGCTTCTACAAAGTTCTTGTAGTCTTCTGCTGTGTCAATAAACTCGTATATATATGTCTGTATAAGGAAGGCTGCGTTATTCAGAAACTTTCCACTTTCAAATTGTTCTCTTGTGGCAGGCATTGCAAACTCACCTCCTTTCTTTAGCAGTGGATTGTCTTTGCACTGCATATAGAACTTGACAACTCCAGCTGCCTCACTTTGGTAGATGTTTTCACTGTGCTCATTAGTAACTGGGTCTATACCTGCAGTATGCATTACTACATTTACAAACTCTTTCTCTTTGCATGTCTTACTTTTTATGACAAGATTATTTTTCTTTCCTTTGTAGTCTATATTTATTTTAATATCAACGCCCTCTGAAAGAAGAAGAAGTGCTGCAAGAATATACTTTGTGTCTTTCTTAACGTGATCTGCTCTTAGGAAGTTTGTAAGTGCATTTGACCTTCCTGCCTCAATGGAGAGGTCTCCATCTGCAGACGGAAACATCTTTATCAGCTGGGCGTGATACATGCTAAGATACTTGCCTTCTGAGGTTTTTGTATCCATGTCTTTGTGTACTCTATCATTCACTGGCTTTCTTTTAAAGTTGTACTCTTGTTCATTTCTATTGGATAGTCCTTTCTTAGACAACGCATAATCTGTGTCTATTTCAGGGGAATAAAACCGCTTGTTGTACATGTGTCCGCTTCGGTTTCCAATATATCCACGCAGCAGATTCAATGGGCCTCTTGGGTTAATAACCACATCCTGCTTCTCGCCAACTAAAGTCTCATGTACTGTCTTTATGTCTTCCATATCGATTCTTGCAAGAATACTTTGCATTATCACTAGGCTTAGAAGTAGTCTGCTGATCATTCTTTGTAAATCGAAAAAAGATTTTCTCTTTAACCGTTTTAATTTCTCGCTTTTCATTATTATCCTTTGCATCAGTTATTTCTATAAATAGATCATTTTTTTATAGGTCACTTGCATGCGATTTATAGTTAGCCAATAAGCAAAAACAGTTCTGTGCTTTAGTTGGGCCAGTGATTGTATCCAATCTGCATACGTAAATACACCAGTTCTCATCTTCATACTATTCTGCTGTCCTGCAGACCAATAGTTAGAAAACACTCGTATAGTTCTCTCATAAAACAGACTCGGCTACACAAAGCCTGTCCTATTGAATAGCTGTCTTTTTATGTATTTATCATCTAATCTAGATATATTAGTATACTATGCAATGGTGTTAACAGAAGTATACTGAAAACTCCGAAGCCTGAATATGCTAGATGAACACTCTGATATAGCCAAGATATGTGCACTCAGGCAGTCTAAATAAAGGAGTTGAGTGGTAGTGGGCTGATGCAGTGTCTGTGCACTAGAAAGTGTATTCCTTCAATATGTGCATAGACAGAGGAAAATAAAAATAAAACTCAACTCAGAGTGTGTCCAGAGGATGTTTAACAGAGCTGTTTCTATGCTATACATATGTATAATGTGATGGATGTGCAGACAAAGTGTCTCTATCTATGTATGTAGTGCAGAATACACACTATTATGATGAGTGTAAGAGAGTGTATGTCTAGCTGTGAATAAGTGCTTGTTTCGTTCTCTACTTACCTAGAGTATGCTGCTCTCTCTGTTTTCTTCTCGTTTCTCCCTTTGTGTCTGAGCAATAGTGGTTCTCTGTGATGTGCTACTTTTCTTCTTTTCCCTGTCTCTAGTGTTTTATTTCTCTTTTTATACCTATGTAAAATAAATTACTCCACTATAAGGAGTATACACTTTATTTTCCGATAATACAGGAATGAAAATACAACAAGACACTGGAAAGAGAAGAAAAGGACAAAGTAGACAGATGCACAGAAATGAAAGAATAGACAGATAAATAGAGAATATGGATGTATTAATAGGTATATGCACTGATAGGCTAATAGAAGAACCCCTTTTGGCAAAGTACTGTAAATATGTTAAGAATGCAAGCATATACGGATAACTTGTAAGGAAGGTAAGTAAGCTGGCACATAGTGTAGAAAGAAAGGAAAATAATCCGATTGACCGCCCCTCTCATATAATCTGAATATATATGTACATTATCACTAAGTTTTGTGCAACTCTTTAATTTTAATTTTATATTTTTGCCAGGCATACCATAGAAATAGCTAGA